TATCCAGGTGTTGGAATGGCCAAGTCAAAATCCAGACCTGAATCCAATCAAGAATCTGTGGAAAGAGCTGAAGACTGCTGTTCACAAACACTCTCCATCCAACCTCACTGAGCTCGAGCTGTTTTGCAAGAAAGAATGGGCAAGAATTTCAGTGTCTCCATGTGCAAAACTGATAGAGACATACCCCAAGAGACTTGCAGCTGGAACTGCAGCAAAAGGCGGCGCTACAAAGTATTAACGCAAGGGGGCCAAATAATATTGCACGCTCCACTTTTCAGTTTTTTATTTGTTAAAAAAGTTTGACACATCCAATAAATTTCATTCCACTTCACGATAGTGTCCCACTTGTTGTTGATTCTTCACAAAAAAAATTTATTTTATATATTTATGTTTGAAGCCTGAAATGTGGCAAAAAGTTGAAAAGTTCAAGGGGGCCGAATACTTTCGCAAGGCACTGTATATAGTTTAAAAGTCAAAAGCAGAATAATTTCATGGAAAAGTCCCTTAAAAAAATAAAAATTAAAGAGTCTCACATTAACTGTGAAAACATCAGTTAGCTTAGCATTAAAACAGCAATGCTGTACCTTTGATCTTTGGTTTGCTTTGGCCAGAGGACAACTTGTCGCTACTGCCGCCTCTGGGGGCAAAACTGTGCTTTTGCAGCCTTTGGTCCTGCATGGAGTATTCTGTACAGAAATGCAGCCACGTTAAAAGCACAAAACCACGTATTTAAACAGGATGAAGTCTCTGAACCTTTCATTTCTTCAAGAAAACTTCTATAGATGTACGAGTAAAGCATGTAAGACTTCAGCGCCTGACTAAAGGTTCAAACTGTATTGAACTCAAAGTAACGAAAACATTTACAGCAGGGCATGACATATTAGAAAATATATTCAAAATCACTTTAATATTTTTAATAGTTGTTTAGTGGTGAAATATACTTTATGCACACTGCAGAATGACAAGTTTGGTGCTAAATTTTCTGAATGTCTGAAGAAAGTGGGCAGCAGCACAGAGACATATTAGTGTGCCACTGTGGAGAACACAGAGCCAGAGTATCTCACTTGACTTTCAAAAACAAGCGAGCCGTCACCACAAAAGGCTCTCTGTTCCCGCCACAAGCAGAACACAAACTCAGGCAGCTCAGGAGCCAGCTCAGTGCTGCTAGTGGGAGAACAGCTAAATGATTTCAGGAATTAAAAAAAAAAAAGTTTGAACGACCGAGACGCCCTGGACAAACGGCGGACAAAGACGAGGCGACTTACCTGGCATTACGTCACAGATGGGAACAAGTCGAGTGTGCTCCAAACTGGCAAAATTACACAGCAGCTTCCCTTCAAACACACCATCCCAACCCCCGATTGGATTGTCCTGAAAGAGTTGACATGAGAACCTTGTAAAGCTTTCAGACACTTCTCGTCACAGTAATGCTGCCGTTGGTGCCACAAGTGCACTTTCTGATGTTTGGTGAAGTCAAGTGTCTTAACCAAGTTTTATCCTTTGTCCTATGATGATCCAAACTGTTTATCTCGTCCAAAAACCAAAATAAGACATCTTCTAGCTCAGGTCCTCCCTCTTTAAAGCTCCTTGTTGTTTTTCTGCCTCAGATGGAAATCAAAGATTCCTCTCCAGATGGGCAGACCAAGATGAGCTTGATGCCAGTGCCACTAGCAAGTGCAGGCAGGGCGAGGCTGGACGCAGAGTGAGGCAGAGCATTGGGCTCTCCTCAGCTCGCTGCTGGCCTCATGCCATGCTGTTGGGTCATACAGCACTAAGTCTTTACCTCACTCCCCACGTGACTGCCTTGCCTTTATGTGGGAGGCTCTGAGTGGGCTGCCGATGCAGCTGCTGCTGCTAACGATCAGCAGTCAAATGCCTCAGTTATGCATTTTAATCACACTAGGACTCCAATACTGCCGCCTCAAAACAGTAGCCATAGCTACAGACTACTGAGATCCAATTCAACTTCTACACGACTGGTCATTAAAATTAAAACAAAAAGCAAGTAATGAGAGAAAATGTGATTCAACAAGTCTGAGGAGAGAAATTCTTCAAGACAAAATGCTAAATCGAGCAGCCAACCTAGACACATTCATAGCTTTGGTAACAAAAGGGAATGTTCGTGGAGAAGTTACTGATCTAATCACATACACTTCAATTTAACACATTATTTACATGCGCAATGTGCGACAGTGTTTCATCAGTCACACTGGTGCCTCAGTACAGTAAATTAGTCAACCCTTGATTGAAAAAAAAAACTGAAAGACAACTGCAGGAGCTCATGTCGAAGTGTGAAAAACTGAGAGCATGTCATCCTTTATAGAATCAACAACAAATGAGTGTTCACGCTCATGAGGTTTGCTGTGTTGGATTGTTTCCAGCTTGACTGGGACACACCACATACAGATACAGAGGAAAACATTACAGGACACATGACATGATAGCCTCATCCATCATTATCGGTGAACTCTAAAAAAGACTTTTTCACATGGGCTTTTTGTCAAATAATAATGACACCGTGTAATATGTGATGCATTATTGTTCATTTTCATTTAATGTAAAAACCTATGGAGAAAAAAATACAGGCATTTTTTTAAAGTTCAGATTTGTTAACTCTTAAAACTAAAAGAGGATATACGGGGGGGGGGGGGGTTCTTTTTTGATTGTATATATACATAAATAATACTGCCAGTGCCAGTTTTATGCTAACATGCCTCCATACCATTTGTTCATTTGAAGTATGATAACTTGGTTCAGACAAAATAAGGGTTTTTTGCGTTTCAAGGTGATAAATTATTATTTCATTTAACCAGCTGTTCAAAACCATTATTGCACCACAATTTATTGCTTGGTCTGTCTGAATTTAAAATACGATGTAAAATCCCTTATTTAAAAAGAGCCATACTTACCATGTCAACCCCCACATAGTAGCCCAGGCTCTCATTGCCCGGCAGCAGGTCACAGAAAATGATGGTGCCTCTCTCAGGTCCCTCTCTGGTCTGCACGACAACCCGAGAGTTGATCTCTAGAGGAGGATAATCCTGATCGTCTTCCACCAGCCTGACGTGTTCCACCTCCAGCTGGCCCAAAGATTCGTCGTCGTCATCCTCCCAGAGCTCCAGCTTGTCCAGGGCCACAAACACACCGCACTCATCCTCGCAGCGGAAAAGCTGGCGGCCCTGGTAGGAGCCCTCCGTGAATCCCTGGCCCCGACCTTCCTCCTGCAAGAAAGAAAGTAGCGACGAGAAAATCAAAACTGTTTAGAGACAGAACAGCAGCAAGAGATATAAGCAATTTATTATCATAATAAAGCTGGTATGGTAGTGAGGCTGCCAGCTCAGCAATCTTCAGGAAGTAGTCAACAACCTGGAGCTGAGAGAGCATCTGATCGATTACTGCAGCAGGGATATGACTGGACTTACTGCCACAGTAAGTGCATTCATCGTCTAATATAAACAGTGGATGTGCTCACAAACTGGACTGAAACATGTTGTGTAGCTTTTCTTACATGCAGGCCCTTATGGCCTTTTGCTGAGCTGCAGTGTGACTGCTTTACTTCCATCAGCCCACACAGGAATACAACTGGGCTAAGCATAAACACAACATTGTGCTGAAATAAGCAACCCTTTGTATTTCAGTACTTACTGAACTGTACACACAGTCCAGAATAAATAGCATGACATCAACCATTTAGATTTGGTGTTGAGAGGATTTCAGCAGAAATGAAACAATAATATTTGCTGACATTCACACCAGCCACAACACTAGTTATGTTCAGATTTCATATGGTTCATAAACTAGCATCTGTGGAGCACTGGTAGAGCAGCCGACTTGGGACCAGAAAGTCGCAGAGCAATTCCCTGCCATGCCCACATGTCATGGTGCCCTTGAGCAAGACACCTAATCCCTAACTGTTGCCCACTTCTCAACTTGGGTGTATTTCACGTGCGATTGGTAAAATGCAGAGCACACATTTTGTCATTGCATGGAAACATGCACTGATGATAATACAGTGTGTTTTAAAGAAACATACTTTTTTCATTAATGTATTATAGCCTAAATTTTACTTTAAGACCGGCATCAAACAATAAAAGTCAATTAAACAGTTCATTTAATTATTTGTTAAAACTAATAACATAACATATGAGATGCCCTAAGAGACATTTGACACTTTTATTGCAAACATGTTTCAAATTTGAATATTGAGCTTTTCCTTTGACATCTGCAGCACTGTTTTTGACCTCTGTGAAACTGTTTATATAAAGTTTTTTTTTTTTTAATGGAATTGTTTTTCCCAAGACACATTTTTTATTAAAAAAAAAATGGGGCCAAGATGAGGTAGAGGTAGGGCAGCCAACTTGGGGCCAGAAAGTCGCGGTTCGACTCCCAGCCATTCCCACATGTCGTGGTGTCTCTGAGCAAGACACCTAATCCCTAATTGCTCTCTGGGTGCTTACATAGCTGCCCACTGCTCCACCTGGGTGTATCCCAGGTGCGATGGTTTAAATGCAAAGAAGTAATTTCACCACTGTATGGGAACAAACAATGATGACCATCGCAAACTTCCCATCTCTTAATTGACCAATTACAAATCCATTGATCCATTACAAATTTTCTCAATGCTACCTTGTACTACCACTGAAACAGAAAAACAATATAGGAGTGCAAAATGGCCACAAAACATCCATCCATCCATCCATCCATCCATCCATCCATCCTCCATCCATCCAGCATCTTTCTCTTGTACTGGAGTTGGATCATCAGTGTTTCCCCTAGATAACTTGCCATGGCGGGGTGCTCATCTCGTCCATGATTTTTGTTGGGGGTGGGGGTGGGGGGGTGACTGTGCAGCGTGCTGTTTAAACCAACAGTTTTAGAGCAGGGTGTGGGAAAGGAGAGAGACAAGAGACACATCTCAGCCACGTGCTGTCTGAACCGACACTTTTTTGTTTTGTTGGTTTTTTTGGGTGGGGGGAGACAGACACACATCTGAGTCGTGCACTGTTTGTACCAACAGTTTTCGAGAGGCGGGGGTGCGTTCAGCGTGAGGGTTCAGCATGAGGGAAGACGCCGTCTTTAGCTAGCACACTTGCATTGTGAGCCGCTAGTTTAGCGTTACGTCAGTGCTGACAGGTGGTTTGGTGTGGGGGTGGGGTTTGGTAGAAGGGCGCTCTATTATGTTGGTGGAGCGGGGTGCCCCACTTGTATAATAGTAGAGGAAACACTGGATCATGGTAGCAGCAGCTTAAGATGGGAGGCCCAAGACATTGCTTTCCCCAGCCACCTCTTCCCGTTCTTCTGGGAGTCTTCCACAGTGTTCCCTGGCCAGCTGAGAAATATAGTGTGTCTTGGGTCTTTGTGTCCTGGGAGGTTTTCTGGATACAACCAAAAAACATCCAGGTGTCCAGGGGACATTCTTACCAAATGCCTGAAACACCTCAACTGACTTCTTTTAATGTGGAATAAAAGCAGCTAAACTTGAGTCTCTTGCAGATAACTGAACTTTCACCCCATCTATAAGGACATGTGGAGGAAACTCATTCAACTGCTTGTATTCCCAATCTAGTCCTTTTGGTCCCTACCCAAAGTTCGTGACCTTTAGTGAAGGTAGGAGCATAGAGCGACCAGTAAACAGAGCTTTGCCTTGCAGCCCAGCTTCCTTTTTACCACAACACACAGGCACAGAGTTTACAATACTGCAGAAGCTGCACCAAAAGTCTCAGACTCCATTCTTCCCTCATTCATGAACAAAATCCAAAAGTACTTGAACTCTTCCATTTGAGACAGCACCTCACTCTCAACCTAGAAAGGGCAATCCACCCTTTTCTGACCGAGGACCATGGCCTCAGATTTGGAGTTGCTGATTCTCATCCCAGCCATTTCACGCTCAGCTCCGGTAAGAGATGGAGATCATGACACGATGACATCAACAAGACCACATTACTCACAAATTGCAGAAATGGAATTCTCTGAACCGGACTCCTTCGGCCCCCTGAATGCACTGAAAACTTCTGTCCATAAAAGTAATGAACAGAATTGGAGACAAAGGGCAGACCTGGCAGAGTCCAACTCCCACCCTGAATGAGTCAGACTTACTGCCAGCAATGTGAAGCAAACTCTAAACTATAACCATGAATGGACCCCAACGTCATACTCATGGAGCATCCTTCAATGTGCACCTTAAGGAAAACAGCCGAATGCCTTCTCCAAGGTTAGAAAACATATTTAGACTAGGTGGCCAACCTCTCATGCCCCCTCGACGACCCCAACAAAGGTCAAGAGTTGGTCCAATGTTCCACGACCATGAAAGAACCTACATTATTCTTACTGAATCCAAAGGTTGGACCATCTCGCAACCAAAAAAACCACTTCAATAAAAACTTGCAAAGCAACCAGACTCCAGTGTGAAGAGATCTTCAAAACTTGGGAACTACTTTTATTTTTTTTGCATTTCAAAATTCCCAAATCTGTTTTACATAGGTAGGGCAGCACGGTGGCACTGTTTGTTGAGCTGCTGCCTCTCAGCGAGCAGGTCGCCCCAGTTCGAATCCTGGCTGGAGGCCTTTCTGGGTGGAGTTTGCATGTTCTCGCTGTGCATGCTTGGGTTTTCCCCAAGTACTCTGGTTTCCTCCCACAGACTAAAACATGCATGTTAAGCTAATTGGTAACTAAATTGTTCCTAGGTGTGAGTGAGAGAGTGAATGGTTGTTTGTCTCGTTTGTCTCTATTTGGCCCTGTGATGGACTTGCGACCCGTCCAGGGTGTACCCCGCCCCTCGCACAGTGATTGCTGGACATGGGCACCGGCGACCCCCGTGACCCAAAATGGAATAAGCGGGTAAAGATAATGGATGGATGGATGGATGGATGGATCCTGATAAAAACTATTCTTAGCATTACATTTATTGCATCATGGAAATATAATGCAAATTATATGCATCATGCAAATAACATCATTGTTTATAAATACATTTTTAATAAATAAATACATACATGAATAAGGTGAAAATATTATAGAGAGAATTCTCACCAGCAGCTCCACTCCAAACCAAATTCCAGACAGGGCTCGGTCAGGGAGCAGGGAGCCTTTGAAGCGGACTACACCAGGCAGAGGTTTATCCCCCGAGCGCAGCTGGACTCGCACTTTAGAACCACAGTCGATGTCTCGGACTCGCTCCAGCCGTGACGTGTCGTACAGCAGAGCGTATCGCTCCTCACAGTTGGTAATGGGGAACAGCAGCTCAGCCAACTTCTCATCCAGCTCCAAGACGTCCCGCTCATCCAGGCTCAGTACCACGTTGGTCTGGTCCAGGATCCGGAGACTTTTCTTGCCCTTACATGGCGGAAGTGGTCGTCCCAGGCTGTTGCGCTCCTGGCAGGCCTGGCCAAGGCTGCCACGAGGAATCCTCAGGGTCTTCTGGGCAGGCTTCTCCACAGCGCATTCCTTCATGACCATGTAGAAGCGCCAGTCCTCCCTGAAGCCCCCACTGGGCTTCTCCTGGCTCCACAAGGCAGAGCTCATGGCTGCATGGCAGGCAGGAGGCCAAGGCAAGCTTGACCAGAGGTCTGGAAAAAAAAAAAAAAAAAGAAAATGCATGACTCTTTCAAAAACTTTTTGTGCTACCGCTCAAAAAATAATTATACATAGAGGTTTTGTGGAAAAAGTCATGAATCTGTGTTATCTAAAATGATCTGCCAGTTATTCAGATGAACAAGAAATCGCAAAACAACCCACAAACGACATTTTCACAAATTAAATGTTAAGACTGTGTAACCTGTGTCACTTGATGGCTACATCTTGTTGCATTTTGGAAAATAAAGTGTTTTATTCAACCACAAGGCATCAAAATGCTAAACAAAGTAAACATCAAAATTCACAATTACTGCTTTTGATTCATATGTATATGAGGAATAAGTATTTATTTAAATTTGTTTTAAATGAGACTTGTGTCTTAATACATGAGCATATATCAGAATAATTCAATATTCTGCTGTAAAACTGCTGGACTGAACATTTTTAACGGACAATCCTGTGATCCAGTTTGACTTTTATCCTTTCATCAAACAAAAAGGCTCTTGATAGCCCCTCTCTCAACAGCCAGGTCATTATGCCTGCACAGCAGCCCCTATTTTAGTAAGATTTGGTGTAATTACTTGTAATTACTAATTCAGTAGACATCTGACCTATTCTGACACACACAGGACAGGACTAGTTCCAACCCTGTGGATTTCCCCACATCACGCCTCAGACAGCTTCTGCACCCAGTCCATATCCGTCTATTGTTTCAAGCATGACAATAGAAAAGTGACAAACAACTCTGGCCCAATTAACGTGTTGTTAGAGAAGGAATGGAGCATCTGTATGAATTACAGCCTATTTCATATGGTAAAGGTTTTAGCCTTGCAGGAATAAAATACAAGACAATACAAAATGCATTGAATATGACATGCATGGTCCAATTTCATTTTTTTAAGCATTGTCATCCAAGTGACAACCACAAAGCACTGTTATGGCTCTTTTTAAATGTAAAATTTCCTTAACAACTACAGATGCATCTCAAAATATTACAATATTGTGAAAAGTTTATTTTTTGTCAATCATTTCAGAACGTGAAACTCATTACATAGATTCATTAAACAGTGGAATGCTTAAAGCCTTTGTTTCTTGTAATTTTGATGATCATGATTTGCAAATAATGAAAAGAAAAAAAAAATCAGTGTCTCAGAAAATTAGAATATTACATAGTCAGCTTTTGGTACCTGTGTGCAGGAGCCAAGTCCTGCTGGAAAATGAAATCAGCATCTCCATAAAGCTCGTCAGCAGAAGGAAGCATGAAGTGCGTTTCCTTGTGGACTCTGTGCCTCTCCACATTTCCTCCAGACTCTGGGACTTTGGTTTCCAAATAATATGCAGAATTTAAATTTCATCTGAAAAGAGGACATTGGACCACTGAGCAACAGTCCAGTTCTTTGTCTCCTCAGCAGGTAAGACGCTTCTGATGTTTCTAGCTCAGGAGTGTCTGGACTTGAGGAATGTGACATTTGCAGTTCATGTCTAGGAGTTAATCAGCTGATTAGAGTGCGACACCAGGAGATTACAATATTGAACCTCTTCACAATAATCCAAGTTTCTGAGACACTGAAGTTTGGTTTTTCATCATTTGTAAGCAATAATCATCTAAATTTTAAAAAAATGAAGGCTTGAAATATTTAACTTTGTGTGTAATGAATCTATGTAATATATGAGTTTCACTTTCTGAAAGGACTGACAAAAAATACTGAACTTTCTCCACGATATTCTAATTTTTGAGAGCAACAGCAGCGTCGTGTCACCAGGCAGCAGCTGTCACTCAGAGGCCCTTTTACAGAGGAAACTGGCTCAAAAATGCACCGACTGTCATTCACATTCATTGTCAGAGAGATGGACAGCTTACCTTCGATATGAGTCAGCTCACTTGGAGGACACAGATGACTGACAGATCATCTCGGTCAGAAACAAGCGTCCAAAGACATGATATATTCCTCCCGTTTTAAGCTCTCATTAGCTAAAGAGGCTAGCTAATGCTATCGTCCTAAGCACGCTAAAGTTAGCAGTGCGAGCTGGTCAGCAGGAAGAAGACAGGCAGAAGACTTCCGCCATATTTAACTTGTACTAACTGCATTTAGATGGCCTGTTCCACGCGAAAATACGTGAAATAATAAACACTCAATGCATACATGTATTATTTACAGGAGACGACTTTAGCCACGGAGAACGTGTGACGTCATCGCGCTCTCCGACATCCATTGGTCAGTCGCTGTTTCCTCGAGCTCTGATTGGCTATTTGTTACGTCCATCATCAAGTCCCACTCTGAGGGGTTTTCCCACCGATGGCAGGAAAACAGTTTGGTTGAAGCGCAGGTGAACGCCGTCTGTTTGTCAGCTGCATGCAGTGGTGGAAGATTTTTAAAATTATGGTCCTTAAGAAAAAAAAAAGCCCCAATAAAAACAGTAGCTTATGAGCTTTGAATGCAAAAAGGCTTCTCTGTTAGTGTCTGCAGTGATCATATTTAAAAAAATAGGCAAATTATTGTTTAATACACATGTATATATATGCTGAATGGAATTCTACTAAAAGTATTAATTTCCTCTTGTACAGTTATGGGACTATTTGCCTCCTGTACACTCTGGATATGATGTTATTAAAATATTTATCGTTGCCTTTATATCAGAAAAGTCTAAATCTATGTGAGGAGATATGGTCTGCGTGAAGGATGTACAAAAATCATTGTGGCACTATTTCTGATGATTTTGAGGATTTATTTTTAACTGTGATTTTTAATAATGTAGGTGACCAAAACTAAATCACAAATCACATATTATTCATGTTTTTAAATGATTTTTTTTTTCTTAGTAAGAGGACTGCTAGACCTCTAGTGTAGCTTTTACCCACAGTCTCTTTCTTTAGAAAATGCAAGAGCTATCTTGTTTTATTTTTATGAAAAGTAAAAAAATATATAATGTTTGTGATGTTATGGTGCGATGTCCAGATTATAGAAAAAAAAACAATGCAAAGACAAATGTTTTGTGTATATTTTTGAACCATTTTTTGTACAAATAGAATTAAAAAACAACTGTTCTTATATTTCACACACTGAATATTTTTATTATTCAATATTTCCCATAATAAATAGTTGCAGCTATAATATAATGCAAAGTCCTTCAATTATGTTTTTCAAGTCAAAAAATCAGTTTGGGTTCGATTTGTTTCATTTCCTCAACCTCCTCCAGACTGAGGTTGTTGTTTTTCAGCCTACAAGGGAAAAAATACATAAATTAAACTTTTGTTATAATGAACAGGCAGGGTAGACGATCATAAATGAGGGTTCAAAGCCCAAAAAACAAAATGCAGTTCTCACACTCACACATTACTCCCAGATTGAATGCAAACGCCTAAAAAAGGAATTTGACTACAGGGCTCTCCTTGTAGCACCTACCATACTGACTTCACATGTGAGTTCTGCTTTATGGCTTTAATGAGATACTCCACCCCTGTCCTGGTTATGCAGTTCTCTGTCAACCTTTCACAGAAAATAAAAAGGAGAAAGAGCTTATGCACCACTGCACATATTGCTCATCTTGTGAAAAGCCAATATGTTCATGCAAATCTAACGTGCATTAGTAATTTGCAGTAAAGCTTCTCTCCGAGACTCACCAAAGTTCCTCCAGCGAGACGCAGTTCCTGATGACGGCTGAGAGAGCACGTGCTCCTGCATCACCCACACCATTACCTACCAGGCTGCCATTGCATTTGCGTTTATACATTACTTGTATGATTATGGAAAACACAACTGATAGGTGCATATTATAATTTCTAAAAACATATTTTACAAATGGTGCAACATCCTCACATATAAGAAGCATAATATGTTGTTATTTCAAAGTGTTTTTTAATGTCAAATATTACCTGAGCCACAACAGAGATGTACTGCTTTCTAAAGCACTCGCAATGGCTTCTGCTCCTGCATCCTCGATCTTATTGCCCCAGAGCCTTTAGAAACAAGAAAAAATTGTCATTTGATACACAAAAATAACTCAGTGCATGCAATTTTTTGCAGTAAAATATTCACCCTAAAAACTGCAGTGAATGATTCTGTTTCAGTCCCACTGCCAGCTGCTTTGCTCCTTCTGCAGTAATATTGTTGTTGCCCAGCCTTAAAGATAAAAAAAAGTTTCTGTTTTTCTATCACGTTGCACATGCATAGTTTACACCACAGTCTCGTGTCGGTGCCACTTCTAATAACTGTGCGCTGACCTCAGTGACAGGAAATTCTGTTTGTTCGTCAAGAGATGAGACATGTGCTGTGTGCAAGCGTCGGTCAGTCTGTTGTTGAAAAGCCTGCACAGAAACAGTATGACTGTGCAACATTTATGCAGGTATTTCATTTGTAGATTTACAGTAGAGAAAGTAACTGTCTTGGCAATACTTACGCAATTTTCTGGAAGTTGTCACACTGGATCACTTTCGTGATGAGTTTGTGGATGCCCTCATCTGTAATGTTATTGTTTCTGAGACTGACAAATGAATAACATGTTCAACCATAAAGATCCTGACAATTATTACCAACCTAATTACGACAACAAAAATATGGAAATGATCAAAATTTGATCTGAAAGTGTATAAAACACCACACTCACTACAAGGAGTTACAAATGTGCATGCAGGGAAGCAGCTGCTCCACTCCAACATCACCGACTGAGTTGTTGTCCAGCTGGAGACCCACGGGTTTCTTCAAATGCTGGAGCACGTACGTGAGTGCAGTGCACTCCACCGGTCCAATGTTGCAGTATGTCAACTTCAAGTGGTCCACCTGCAGCTTACTCGTGACATCTTTAGCTATCCTGCTCTCCTGCATCTCATAGATGCATTTGATGAGCCAGACGAACCCGGGCATTGCGTGCATGCTTTTCTTCTCCCCCTGAACAGGTCGAGGGATGGACCTGAAGTGCTTCTGCATGCCTTTGGAGACACATCTTTCCACCTGTCGACTCTTCTTCTCCACCACAGCACTTGAGCAGCAGTGGAACCACAGCTTTTGAAGGCGCTGGGACAGTAATCCAGACACAAAGGTGGCTGTGATCTGCAAATTTGGGGTTTCTGCTGCAGTAGCACGTTCCTCTGAGACATTCTCCTCTTTATTGCTTGAAGGAAGGCAGGCTTTGAAGCACGTACTGCTAAGACCGGTGTCCATCATGTCCTGCAGCTCAAAAAGCTTAAGAATAGTTGAACCGTCATGGTGACTCGACAGGACAATGAAGAGAGCAGCAAAGAAGCATTGCATTGTCACGTGAAGGAACTCGTAGTGTTTGCTGTGACCTAGGGACATGTCTTTGCTTTGTATGAGAAAGCTCATGCAAACATCCTTTTCAGTTACGCCATATATTTCCAGATCTGTGTCTGAAAAGATATAACAGGTGGTGGCTATCCCTTTAAAGGCAAGCTGGCCAAGACGTAAGACAGTTCTTAGGTTCTCTTGCAGCCAGCCTCCTATGGTACGCTTTGCCGTGCTGTGACGCTGGAAGAAGTGCTGTAAGATCATTACATACACATCTGTGATGGTTTGTGGGCTTCCTTCTCCACATCCAAGCAGCTCCCTGTGACACTGTGAGACTATGCAGCAGAGAACTGGACTGTGACACAGTCCAAGTAAAGCTGTGTTTGCATGTAGGGACTCTAAGACCTTAACTGCTACATCGGCATCTCTCTGATGTCTTCTCACAAAGCAATCAATGCTTGATGGGGAAAAGCCTTTCAAGAGGACCTCTTTGCAAAGGTGCTTTTTTAACCCAGGTCCTACTGCCTCTGGACGACTAGTGACCACCTTCCTGACCCCCTTCAATAGAGAGCCCTGGATTAGGTTAAACAACAGTAGATTCACAGGTGCACGTTGGGTGGGGCAGCAGAGTCTGTGTTCATCAAAAAAGCTCTGCTTCAGTTCATCCAGGCCATCAAAGGTGAAGAGGATACAATGAGGGTTGTCCAGTATGAACTGGAAGATCTCCTCCTGCTCCCTGTCTGGCCAGCAGCAGTGCTCAAACAGCAGTTCTTGAACAGACAGCTCCCGGTCCTCTGAGTTCAGCCTGCGACAGCTGAATGGGAACAGAAGGACAAAGTCCTGAAGGGCGGCCCCCTGAGCCCAAAGCAATTGTAGCTTCTGAAGGAGGGTGCTTTTCCCACTGCCTGCCTCCCCAGACACCAGAACAGTGTCTGCATCCTCATTCACTGTCCCCACTGGCCCAACGATGTCCTCCAAGCCCAAAGCTCTGTGGACGCCAGCTCCGGTGTGAGGAAGTTCCAGCTGGACTTCAGTGAAGATGTCATCCAGGGCCGTGTGGTTGGTCCCTCCATAAGTACTCAGAAAGCAGGACTGTGCTGACACAGAGCTGCGCAACTTCTTCTTGTATTTCAAAAACTCTAAGAAAAAAGGAGATAATACAGAAAAGATAAACTAAGTTCATTTTTTAATAAGTTTTGTGAAATAATCTTCTGGTGCAAAAAAAAAAAAGATAAATAAAAAAACAGCTAAGTAAAATGAAAGCACTAAAATATGTGATCAAAACAAAAAACTGCTTTAGATTTCTTTTAACATTTACTTGTGTTTATTATATAAGCAGTGAGGATTAGAGGTCGAACAGATTTTTTGACAGCCAATGCTGATGGTTAGACATCCCTGCAGCAGTTGGCTGATATATCACATCTGTTTTTTTTAATGAATATATAATTTCCATTAAAAAACATAACATAGTTGCTTAACTGAAAAACGCTTGTATTGAAGAATATTTTGAATAACCTGGGTACTAAAAAAGATAAATGGGAGCTTAAGAGAAACACTCAATTGTGGGTCAAGGCGTTAAAAAAGGACCTTGGTCTTCTTGAGATGTCCTCGTTAGGAGGCTGTAAAGTACACATCTGTTCACAGTTTGATGTCAGGACCTGCTTATTATGATGAGACTGGTTTGCTTTACCTACAGTATGTCTGACTGATATGTTCATATGGACACTCCCTGACAATCTTAATTTTTTAACAACGTTAAGTCAGGTCATCTGGATGGTTTCTTTTTTTTTTTAACCATTTCATCCTTCATCCGAAGGACTTCATCAGCCACAAACAAACTGAGTCCCACAAGCAGCACACTCACATAGTGGACCAACCAGTTTGCTGGTGATAAGATGGTTTCTGGAGTCCACCATCTCCACCATCAACTCCTCTGAGGCAGCCATAAGTGGTTCAAAACATCAAAGTTCATGCTCAATAATCCTATGAGGCTATGGCTGCCTCAGAGGAGTTGATGGGGGAGAGGGTGAGCCCCAGAAACCATCTTATCACCAGCAAACTGGTTGGTCCACTATGGGTGTGTGCTGCTTGTGGGACTGAGTTTGTTGTGGCTCCTCGGCCTGACGAAGTCCTTTGTATGAAGGACGAAACGTTTCAACTAAAAAAGAAACTGTTTGGACGACCTGACTGAACTTTGTTGAATTTTCACCCTGGATTATTGAGCATGAACTTTGAGGCTTAGTTTTTTTAAATTTTGTACCTGGAACTTCAGGTTGAAATTTCTTTGTAATAACTTGATAAAATCAACAAGTTGGGTCTTCCTGTATCCCTTATCTTTTTACCTGGACAGGCAAAAGTTGCTGCCAATTAGGCAAACCACAAAAGGGCCTTCTCCTACTCCGCTCCTGTTTCCTGGAATATCTTGTAAAAAGATCTGAAGCTCTCAACCTTGACCTCTCTAAGTGACTTCAAACATCTGCTAAGTTCATGGCACAAACCAATGAAGACATGTTCCTGGTTTTAGTATTCTACATTGCCTTACAACCTAGCTGTTTTTGTTTCATGTTTTTAATACAATTTTCTTTCATTTGTCCTTCTCAGTTTGTATGCTTTCTTTTATGATCGTCTACTGATGTCATCACTCTTTGTTTAAAACAGGTCTCTCTTGTAAATAAGCCCCCGAGGCTCAATGAGACTAACTTGTATAAATAAAGTTTGAATGCTGCATCTTCATTTTCCTACTCACCTAATTTCTAAAAACTGTCAAATGTTGGCTAAATAAACTATGGAATATTTTTTTTTTATGTTTCATTTTCAGTGTCATTGCTGTAATATATATTTTTTTAATTCTTAGCATTTTGCAAACTTATTATGTTTTGTTTAGTTTTGCTTTGGTGCATTTACCACAATTATTTTAATATTTATTAAAACTGAAAACAATACCTTCACACACTGTTTATATTCTCTAAGTAAGTATGTATTTAACAAGACAGCCAAGGCAACTTTACTATTCTACACGAGGGAGAGTTCCCACAAATTAATCTGAAAATGTTCATTGGTTATAACGCTGACAAGAATATCACAATTTTTATCACAATCATGACAAAAACTAATTTTCTTAATGTACTATACTCAAGTAAACGTTTGAGGAATTTTACATGATTTAAATCTATTTTGTACTTCTTTATAGATCCAATACAATTTAGAAAATATAAAATTTCACTCTTAATCGACAACTTTTGCCGTACAGATTAAAGAATGAATGAGTGATTTGGCCTCAGTTGTTTTACAAACAGTGAAGATTGGGTCACATTTTACATGTCTGCTGGGTTTTATAATAGCTGCACAAAAAAGCAATTTCTCACTTTTAACATTTCACGTGGTTTCATTTTAGTAAATGTGAAATGATGCAACATCTCACAAAATATTTGAACAATAAAGTGTAACAACAGTTTATTTTCCTCGTTTCCTCTCTTGTAAATCATCAACTCATTTATCCAATGTTTACCAAAGCCTTAGCAGTTTCAACAGTAAAATGCAGCTTACACAAACACCACAGTGGTAATAAAATCAAATATACGAGCATATTTGTCTGGGGGGAGAAGGTCCTTGACAACTGCAGGGTATTTCATGCTGAAGTACCTTTCCAGATCCTTTATTGTAAAGAACCGTCCCATCATGTGAAACTTCACCGCTTTTAAACTCTGAAGACAACAAACCTTTGGTTGGAGTCGGTTTCTTCTGGCTCACTTGGGCTTGTAATTCCTTTCTTTGCTGAATAAACTGCAGAACAACCGCGGCTGCTGCCTCACCTTTGGATCCGACATGATCAAGCAGACGCCTTGCCTGAAACACAAATGGGTTGAAAGAGAACAACAAGTTCACTGTGACTGAAGGAAATAGTTTAAATACTGTTCGCATTTGATATCTATGCAGGAGCAGAGACAAACTTACAGGATGAAAACACAGTTAGGCTCTTAAAGTTATTTTCTTTTCAGCAAATCAAAAATCAAAGTTTAATAAAAATAAAAACTTGGAAGTTTCACAGGTTTAAGTGCAGAAATATTTCCCAGGGGAAGCCCCGGTTTAATGTTGACCTACAGGAGGCACCGTCTGCCTTCAGGTTGACTTAACAAACTTATTAACTATATAGTTAATTAATTAACTAATTAACTAATTAACTTCAGATGTTACTACTTTAGGCAGTCATATTTATTTATTAGCAGTTGTGCAGCACATGGATGTCATAATAGCATAAATGTATTTTATCAAATAGATAAACAGATTAAAATGATAAAAACAAAATTAAACTATAGCTTGATGCTGTGTTTGATTTCTAGTGGAAAAACAGACAAACAATGTGTGTGGGGGGGGTGTACTATATAAATAAATAAATAAATATATATATATATATATATATATATATATATAATGTATATACAGTGTATATACATACATACAAACAAGGGATTTTAAACATTTGATAATGTCAATAGAAATGTCAAAGCAAATATGTTCTTGTTTTTAGTATTTGACCTTGTTTTATATGGTATTTAGATTTGACTGTGTTTATTACTTCTTTTATTTAATTTTTATTGCTTTGTGTTGAATTATTGTCTGTACCTTATATGTTGTCTGTCTAAAACATATCTCTCTTGTAAATGAGTCCTTGTGACTCAATGAGACTAACCTGTATAAATAAAGGTTGAATGAAAAATATCTACATACATACACACACATATAAAAAAAAAATCCAAATAAATGACCAAGCATTTCTGGAGAGACTGCATATTACACGCTGGAGACCTTTTTGTGTTTAGAAAATTATGGCGGTGTAGCTAATTTGATGAAACATAAAAATTAAAAAAAGGAATATCTTACATTTGCACAATGTGCTGTGAATGACCCTCAGCTACTATCACATTATCTCAGCTTAATATCTGTGAAACTGATTAACTTTCACTTTTGTGTTGACTAATGTTGATTAGCTGTTGTCATCACTGTGAACTGCACTGACTCTGAAAATAATCACGTGTTGACGTAGATGCAGATGTTTAATCAGTGGTAATTTTTTTTGAAAGTCTAACCCACTTTGTCTTTTACATCAATTAATGACAACGTTTTAAGGAAAGCGCCGCAGCACTCAGTGTAAATATTACAGAAGACTCTCAGCTACTACCACATCAACTTTTAACTCTATATCTCTGTTGGCTGTATTGGCCATCTTGATTTGAGGCAGCTCCAAAACTTCATATTTCTTGAAAGTTTCATAAAAATCTGACCTCTGGTTCATGAGATATTTTCCATAACACGCAAAAACTACAAATCCATGCACACAGACATGGACATAAAACACCTGCCACCAGAAGGTGGGTGATAATGACACAAACAATCGAGTTAATCATGATTATATTTGCTGAACTTGTGGCTGCTCACAGTACCTGCTGAGAGGGGGTGTGAACAGGCAGCTGCACCTCATCACATTCATCTGAGGAAAATTGACCTGAGTCAACCAGAGCTTCCAGAACACCATCGATGCAGCCTTGGAGCTTATAAACAAGACTCGGCCTTTGGGCCACGAGCGCCTCAGCAGATGCACTCGGGGGGTTCTCTTGGTCCTCCAAAGAAGAAGGGCGTTCTGAAAATGAGAGGCCACCTCTCTGTGCTTCTGGTAGGACCTGTTGGACAGCAGCGATGAAGATCCCACAGCTGTCCGCTCCTTTGGTGTACACCAGGTCAAGCAGCTGCCTGGCGTTAGAGTACAGGGTCCTCCCTGGGACCTGGATGCTCTGGTAGTCCTCCCATCCAAGTTCACCCTTGGCCAGCAGAATATCCAGAACTCTTTCCAGATGTTGGGCTGACCCGCATGCGCAGAGAGCATGGAGAAACTCTGTGCGTTGTTTCAGCAGCAGCTCCTGTGTGAACATGCTTCACACATGTCAGCTCTCATGCTCGTGACCATTCATCTCCTATTTCTGCTGTCTCGAGGAGCACAAAACACAAGAATCCACCCACAAGCAAAGTACACATCCAAACACCATCATGTAGCTGGGGTTAAACAGCCCACTGGAAAAAAAAAAAAAAAGTTTAAATGCTCAGGAACAACATGAACACAGAACTGAACCATAACACTCACGACAACACAAGTCTCCTCCCTTCAACGAAGATTTGAGCACATACATCAAACAAAGCTCTTCCTCATTCCAAATGAGAAAATGAAACCTGCTCTGTTACTAAGTCCCTCCAGTGGAACAGAGAGGAAATAATGACAGTGAAGGAAATGTTTCAGTAAAAACTTGAACCACCAGCAGCAGCAGGCACAACGCCCACTTCCAGTGTTTCACAGAAAATTGCTCAACTCAGAAACAGTGTTATTTACTGAGGTGTGCTCTTGTTTCCACATCCTCTTAAAGAGATCTTCCATCCAGTGCAGTTTCGCTAACAGTCATAAAGAGGAATAATAATTTCTAAAAAGTCAGAAAGATTAGTTAAACTTCAGGACCATGCTTGGTGTAGTTTGGTGTTGGAGCCACTTGATGGAACTGTTGCATTTTAAAAAGCAGGCACTGGGAATTTCCTTTTCTTTTGACAACTTGCTTATTCCATTTTCCATCCAATTTCTTTTGCTCATTTTGTATTAATCACCCACTGTCAAAGACAAAAGGGTAATAATGTTTATAACCGTGTGGATTTATATATCTCACAAACCATCGAATGGATTTTAACGATACTTTCAGAACGTAATATTAGATATACACCTACAGCTGATAAGCTTTTAGAGTCAACTCCTTTCAAGAGGGCCGCCACACTTATTAGACTTTACTCAACACAGAAATGGCTTCAACCTTCTCAGTTTAACAGATTTCATTCTAATATTCAGTGAGGAAGTAGCTGAGAGTCATTCTCAATACGTGCTCTGAGGACAAACTTCCAAGATCTTGTATTAATCTACGAGACCACACATAGCATCATTTACAAGTTTTGACCCAACAACTCTGAATCTGTGATTTCTGATGAAATCTATGTTTAAAATTCAGGCATGAAAATTGGTGAGTCAATATATTGCTTTTAGGCAGGGGTCTGCAACCTTAACTGTGATGATCAACTGGTGGTTTAAAACTACTAAACAATAATGAATTTCAACATTTACTGACATTTTTATAGGGACAAAAAATAAATAAATATGATGTAATCTAGTTTCTACATTTAGATTAAAACAAAAACACTGAACTCGCAGGCCTGTGTGGTCTTTTATGTAAGGAGAAATTAAATTGCATTTCGAAGTAATAAAGCAAAAAAATAGTGTCGCTCAAACATTTGCAGAAAATTGACATAAAAGCCAAAACAAGCCTTTTCTGGTGTGGTGATAAAAAAAAACAGGACAATTAAATTTCCTGTAAGTTTGGGTCAAAGCTTCAGAGAGCTGCATGTGGCCTCAGAGCCACAGGTTGCAGACCCCTGCTTTAAGAAATCATCTGCCTTTATGTATCAACTGTATTTATCCTGTTACTCCAGCCACCATCTTTTTGTATCTTTGTGAGTTACAGCAGTTTAAGTAGAAGTTGATCAAATAAAGCATATTAATTTGTGAAGATTTGTCATGAGCAATGATAAAATCATGAGTATGATAATAGCCCGGCAGAGTTTGAATGGAAGGAGCACGGCAGTGAACCTGCAGCCGAGTTAGCATGCTGCGCACACAGACCAGTCTCTGGCTCATAATGTGATCATGCATTGTTTTACAGACCAAAACAACAAGAATAACTTTTTGGACTTCCTGCTCCCTCCTGAGCTTGTGAACAGATTATTATTTGCCTTCAGTGCGTCTTCATTTCTGTGGGGGGGAATCCTCAAACACACATGGACAGGGGTAATCAAAGACAATCTTTCAAAGAGGAGTTTTCTTTTCTTCCTCTTGTCTAAGAAACAGGCGACTCCACCTCTGGGAGTGTAATACAGAGTACTTTCTGTCAGGCATCCTACACAAACCTTCAAGGTGGAGTTCTAGCATCTGAATGACAGAAGGAGGTCCAAAGAAATTTGGGTGAAAAGAAAGAAGATGTGCAAACTGTCAAAAACAAAAATAAAAAAAATATGATTTCAAAGAAATGCTCGAGTATTTCTGTTTTCTGTTACACCAAAATTCTGAATACTAGGAAACATTCAGGAAAATGTGACTAATGAGCAGGTTTCAGATCTGTTAAATGGCTGTAGTCAAAAATATACTGTACATTAAAAACAAAAGATTTACTCATCAACCTACTGTGTGTTTTTATGAAAGTAAGTGTTGCTTCCTGTGGAGTCACTTCACCACTGCTTATGGCTCTATAAAAATTGGGCCATTCGCCACAGAAACGTCATCCATCCTGACAGTTTTGTCTTTCTCAGTGCATAACAGTGTCAGATTCTATCCTGTGGTGGAAGAATGAAAAATTCAGATTTTCTGTGCACAAAGCTCAACCGTACCTGATTTCAATATTAGATCAGGTACACAACTACAGTATAATACATATATGCTGATTACTTTACTAGCACTCCCAGAAGTATGTATGTTACATTCCAATAATGCTCAGTCAGGTCATCTGGACAGTTTCTTTTTTGTAGAGACTTTTCGAAACATCTCTACAAAAAAGAAGCTGTCCAGATGACCTGACTGAGCGTTATTGGATTTGGTACCTGGATGATTGAGCATGAACTTTGCTGTACATTACATTGCTTGATCAAAGTTCATGCTCAATAATCCAGATAGAAAATCCAGCAAAGTTCAGTCAGGTCATCTGGATGGGTCTTTTCTTTGTTGGGATGTTTCGTCCTTCATCCAAAGGACTTCATAAATCTGAGGAGCCACAACAAACTGAATCCCACAAGCAGCACACCTACATAGTGGACCAACCGGTTTGCTGGTGATAAGATGAACTTTGATGTTTTGAACCACTTATGGCTGCCTCAGAGGAGTCGACAGAGGAGAGGGTGGGCCCCAGAAACCATCTTATCACCAGCAAACTAGTTGGTCCACTATGCGGGTGTGTTGCTTGTGGGACTGAGTTTGTTGTGCTCCTCGAACTGATGAAGTCCTTTGGATGAAGGACGAAATGTCTCAACAAAAAAAAAGAAACAGTCCAGATGACCTGACTGAAATTTGTTGGGCTGCATTGTTTGATTTGATAAATGAGGTAAGAGCTGATTCTTTGATTTTTGTATAGGGAATATTGCAGCTGTATTTATGGCAAAGTCAGTAGCTCCACAAAGAGGCGCATGGAAAAACACAATCAATTTACAACCGTTTATTTATTATTTTTCTGTTGCAGCCAGGCAAACTGGAGGAAGCAATTTCCACAGTAACAGCATAAACTCATTTGAACCACATGTATGAAATCAACAAAAATGATCAAACATAAAATGCTTTCATCATGTTGTTTCAAGGCAGGGTGGTATGTACAGCATACATAAACACTAACCCTGACCATATGAAGAAATTCTATTTTATATTTCTTAACTTCTCTGAAAAGATTATCACAGCTTAACTTTTATGAATTTGTTCTATTTATTAAGAAAAATGTACTGATGATATGTAAAACTTACTAATGTTTAAACTAGTTCCTAAAAACTGAAAGAAATAACAAATAACTGATAAATAGTGGCACATCTGACTTAAAGCAATAAAAGTTTATATATTAGTCACAGTTATAACAGACTTGATTTTTTTTTAGACGTTACATGTTTTGAATAGTTTTGATTTATTATAACTTGCAATATGAATATACACTGTAGACAAAGAAACGCTTTTCCAATCTCCTATTATTTAATTTTAGTGAGTCTTAGGCCCTGTTTAAACGAGAAGGACCTCTGGAAAACATTAGGGTTTTTTTCAATGTTTATTGGGGCAAATAAACATGGAAAAAAGCACATTTACATTTATCTGATGTAGCTTCCATGCTAGGCAGGGTTGCCAGATAAGAAAAGATGAACCATTGTCACTTTAAAATTATTGCATTGTGACCCAAACTGATATACTGTATGTGCTAAGTATGTGCATTCTCGGAGGGAGGAGGTTGTAAGATGTGGTGTGTGTTGTGTTTGGTGAATATGTGCACAGAAAAGGAGGGTGCAAAAAATGTATTCATGTTTATCTGGCAATCCCGATACCAGGCTCAACTGCAAGCATCGCACATGTAGTGTTACATCAAAATTGATGAAAACTTTTGTGTTTTTGCACCAAGTAGTTGGTTTCCCTTCTGCAGGTTCACATATACACACCAATGTTATTCATGCTTCTCTGAGTGGGAATAATGTTAGCTTGCAGTGTTTACTTTTCAGTGATTTACCAGTGCTTTCTATGAAAGTTATTGATCCATCATTTTAACTCCAACAAACCCAAACTATGATCTATTGCTTGTTCTCTAACAGAATGACGTCTATGAGTGAATTTGTGTACTGTTTACCAAACAATAAAACCATGCCTATTTTTATTTCTACCCCTGGCACTCTCAGTGTCCCACACTCATCAATGATGTCAAGTAAAAATGTTGCTGTATAGTTAATGCCTGTCATTTTGTACTCCCCAGAGCAAAGAAGGTAACCAATAAAATAGGATGACTTCATTTTAAATTAATGGGAACATAACTGTAAGAGGCTCCGTGAATACTATAAAAACACAGACTGAAGTCACCAACTGACTCAAACATTAAAAAAGAACTACTGTACAGTAGTAGAAAAGGCTGCTCTGAGAAAGAGAAGGAGGTATTTAGCAGATGAAGTGGATGACATCTCTCTCACAGTGGCACGAAGAAGGGGAGCATGTGTGCGTGACCATGTGTGTATGGGCGTGTGTGTCAATCAGCATTTAACTGACAGGAAGATTAAAGCTCACATCTGAGAGCCCCTCTGTTTGCACGAATAGCCAAGTTGAAGGAGTCTGGTCTGCCCA